AGATTTTAATGGCCCTCGGAGAGCCCGCTGGAGAGCCTCCTCAGCATAAAGGCTCGAGACTGATTTTGCTAGGGTCAGTGGGCATCGCTCACTCAAACTAGCCGGTGGAGCTGTAGGAAATATTCCCCAATCATTGGATGCGTGAAAAATAAACCCCCACTCCCTCTGCCAGCCCAGAAGCTTTCTGCCTAGCCTCCTTAGCCCGTGGGAATAAACTGAGCATCTTGTGTTTACAGAATACCTGATCGCCTTTCTCTATCCGCAATCCCACTTTAGCATTTGACTTGATTTCTGTCTTCGACCTCTCATGACTCTAGTCAACTTTTTGGGAGCACCAGGGCCCTTTATTTCGGTTGGGCTACTAAATGTGCGAGCTGAGGGCTTCCCGGGTGTTCAGAATTTTTAAGCTATCATATTAAATCTTTCCTATTCCAACCTACATCTCATTTACGAGGTAATCCCGAAGATCCCCCTCTCCCCCTGTCTCCTCCTCCATGTGCCTTACCCATTTGAGAAGCCAGAAATAAAATTGCTTAAAAAAGCTCAAGCGTAGGCTGGGAATCCCTGGAAATAGTGTTTAAATAATCTCTGCACAGCTCGGCTCGGGGATATATCGGCTCGTGGAGCTCGGACCAAGCCTTGGAACTGCGCAGTTCGTGGGGAACACCAGGGATATCACTCCCTGGCGAAACCGAAATTGGGTGAACTTTTGGAGGCCAAGGTTTGTGGGTATTTTTTAATATCAGACGAAATAAAAATTTAGCCATCGGCTTAGAGGGTTTCTTCTTTCGACTCTGAAAGTGCTGTAGGGAAGAATTAGTTCCAGGACTAGAGCCCATAGGGCAGCGTAGCGATGACCGAATGGGAACTAACTTACTCGAGTAGAGGGTACTCGAGTACTGTCAGGGCATAGGAAGGGATGATGGCAACGGTTGATTGTTGTCTTGATTGTTTCCTGAGAATGACGAAACAAGGCAAGTTAGCTAGTACAGGTTGGAAAATGGGAAAAAGGGGTAGGAGAAATAAGAATGATGAGGGAGGGGAACGGCAGCAATTCTTTGCCTGACTTTTTCATGCGCCTTTAGAGAAGAATAGACAGCCTTTTTCTATAGGTGAATTTGAGTCAGAGATTCACCGTGGAACGAGGTTGTTTTGTATTTCTTCTTGATCTTCCCTACTGATTCCAACTTCATCGTTACTCGTGAAGTGTTTTTCTACTCATTCTTTGACTCGTTCTCAAGACCTCCGGTGTGAGCAGAAGCTGAGAGATCTGAGTGTTTGTCATTCCCACAAAAGAACGCACACAGTACCGAGAAAAGAAGAATGGGCCGTGGTAATGCTTTAATATTAAAGCACTCTTACTTCGAGCGTTGGGTTATGTCATGAGGCGGTATCGCCGAACCGGGGGACCGGGAGTGACTCCACAACCCCGATTATGGGTGTAGGCGAGGTGGTGGGAGTGGTAGGAGACGTTTTTAAAGGTTTGAACTACGAATGAAGGCTAGAGCAGGTGAAAATATCTCTTGTAGCTCTGACTACGAACCCTGCCCTTAGTTGCACCGCTTGTTCTAGGGGTGTGCCGGGAAGGAGGAAAATACTGGTTTATTAGTGCAACCTCCTGGCGACTTTGAGGGGGTTACTGTTGGGGGTAGTTTACCCTTTTTGTATGATAGCTTGTTCCAAACATTCTGTACCATAACATCTAACCCCTAGCACCTCAGATCTCCGGCAGGAAGCTTGCCTCTGTGTGCTAACCACATGGGAGATATCTGTTCATTCCATTTTGGCTTTATTTTTTCCCTCCTCCCTTCCTTTCTTACATATTCTCGTTCGGGTGGTCTCCATAATGCATAATTAGCCTTCTGCTCTGTCGGAAGTAGAAAACAAGGCCTCCGAACAAAGATATCGACTGCAGACCTTCACGAGCGAACCGTTTATCATACCCGAGGTCTAATTCGTGCGCCTCGGACACTATGGGCGGATCTCTCGCAATCCAGTGGATTATCATTTTACTACCGACAGCCCACCAATAGTATGCTAGCCGTGCATTCATCCTTTTGAGCAAGGTTTTACCAACTCTGGTGATCCACCATCGCTGCAAATAGCATTAAATATTCCACCTATGGTGAGATATGGAACACCGCCGTGAAACCCCAGCCTCTCCAAACCTTGCACCAAAATACCCGTTCTCCGAGACTGCAACCTCAACGCTGACCGGGCAACGAATTAGAAAGGAACCGGGAGAATGCCGAGGAGTGGGTCTCTTTGGAATGCCACTATCGGCAGCTTCGAACCGATAATTTGTGCCGGCTTAGCTAATAGTATAATGTGGGGATTCCGAGAGCAGCCTAGAACCATCGGTGTACGGCCTGTCGCATAATGAAAATATGGTAGATACTTATGTCTTGAGCTACCCATAGTCCCTTAATTCCGCAATCCTTCCTTTCAGTTCTCCTGGGTGTATATCGCTCTCTACCTGGCTTCCAAAACTATCCCGCCCAGGACGGGATATCGGGTTTTCCTGGATGAGTGGGGGTCAGTTCCTAAAGAGGCCCAGCTCGCCGTAAAGTGACACCCGGCTTCCGGATGACGTCCTTGCACCTAACCGCTTCCCCGAGTCCCGGAAGATCCAGTATTGTGCAGGTTGGATCATCGGGAAGTGCTCGGCAAGGGAGAAATGAGCACCGAGTGACATCGCATGAATAGCTGGTCGCTGTGCAGTACACGGACTTATGGATAGAGGTGTTAAGCCACTATCCTCGGATGGCTAGAAGACCGCCGGCATTTCGGCGAAGCAAACTGGGGCCGTTGGTTAACTTGTGTGCAGGGTAGTAATTTCCGGAGACTGGCAGCTCGACTCTACCTATAACAGAAATTTCAAGAAACTGCAATGATCTCAAGAAGACCTGTCTAATCCACCAGGGAAAGCGCAGGGTCCGCAAATTGCTGATTGGCCATGTTTACACTACTGCAGTGCTGTAAGATCTAGCAGTGGCTTGAGAATTTTTATAGAGTGACGTACAAATTGTGAATGACTAACACCTTTGTTCATGGCTATTATTGCTCCTCTGTTCCATAAATACCTCGTTCAAATAGCTCCGCTGTAGACCGCTT